GTGAGGGGAAAGAGAACGCGCGTTAATTTCGTATAAATTTACCTTTCAACAAGTTCATTGTGTTGCCGATCGAGCGTTATTTTTCCAGTAATTAACGATCTAGCTTCTCAATCTGACGGTCAGCGACATATTGTGGTTTCTGTGATTTTTACACAGCGTAGCCTCGTGACTGAAAATAGTATCCTTTTATATGCACACCGCGTTTTGTACATTTCAACACGCTCACTTTGTCTGCAATGTTTTCTATTCTACTAAAGAGCCATTCTTTTAGATCGATGATTCATCAAGATATATTGTAATTAACGCATGTTAAAGTACGTTAAAGTCGACTTTCATTACTCAATCGAATTGTATCAAATTAAAATTGTATAAATTTTTGCTCCCACGTCTAATTGGTCTAAACTTGGTCGATCCAAATGTAAAGCTACCATCGATTAAAATCTTACTGATTTCAATTACCTCGATAGTTTTAAAACACCGGAATTGTGAACGGGTTGCGTAAAATTGTCCGACGGAGAATCCAAGGGTCGGCGACGATTCCGTCGAGCAATCACGGACTCTGAGAATCATTGACACTCGCGGGACCACCCGCGTCGCGTCGGCTTTGCCAAAGAAAAGTCCCCCGAGTTTCGAGAGTTGTTTAAAGACGGGAAACAACATATACCTGCGTGTCCGGTATACCCGGGGCCGCCTCTTGGAGTCCACGGTGTTTGCACAGAATTAGTAGAATAGCGACTCTTGGTGCGCCCGATGGAGGGAGCACAGGAGAGGACAAAGAAAGAGCCAGGAACAGGTCGGCCCGGAGTGAGGAGGAGGAGGGGGATGAGAAACTTAAGGCACTGTTTTGTGTGCTTCCAAGATCGCGTCGACTCGAGACGGATCCGAGGATCTACAGAGGGAAAAAACAACAGCTCGGAAACTATCGGTGCACCCACACTTTATTCGGGATACACATCGGCATACAACTCTCTCTCTCTCTCGACGAACTGATCAATTTAGTACGCACGACAATGTTGTGTCATTAAAATTTCCGCTGACAGGACACGAGACACCTTGGCGTTTCACGTGAAACGCAATCAACGTGACAGATTTAATTTTACATCTCGGGGAGGAGTAAACTGGCCATTCATCGTCCTTAACCTGAGAGAACTCTTCAAAGTGAACGAGGGTTAAGCTATTACAATAGCTAATGCAGCAATACGAACGAGCGAGTAGGGGGGGGGGGGTGAATATTGATTGTCGGTTTTCATTCGGATTGATTCAGACAGGCGTGAGGGACAAATGCGTGTCCCGCGAGTGCGACGGGAATCGTTTGATGTCTCTCACGCGTCTTTTCTTACTTCGTTAAGTAATATCTCGTAGATGTACGTTGACGTTGATTTTGTGTAATCACGATTTGAAAAACATTATATTTTTCAAATATTGTTCAATTGGCTCCGGCAAATGCTCGCTTTAATTTATTTAATTGCATATGACTAAAAATCGGTAGCATCACGCCTACACAGCTTAGAAAAGCTGTAATTATATTATATCATTTCATTTATAGACACATACTCTTGAGTATTTTTAATTTTGTATTTTTAATTACGGCTAGAAAAATAAACTTTACTCGTTATTGTCACTTGCAAAATCGAAGCAAAACCATCACGGACTGTAGTATATATGTACTCTCTTTTTAAAGAAGTTTTTAACTTTTTTTGCAAGGCTTTTATGAAACAGGGCAAACCTTTTACACCAATCTGATGCTTTTATTCGCGGGCAAAATAAAACCTATTTAATCCTTCATTTGATAATGTTGCTCCAAGCAATTTGATTTTATCCACTTCCTAGAATGCTCTCTTGTTGTGTTGTAATTTAAATTAAACAATATAAATAACAAGCTCCTCTCTATATTCAATTTATATTGTAATTTAAAGGTATAGTCTTTAAATATTATCTATGCTTATAAGAAAAGTGAAACCAGTAATGCATTTTTAATCGTCCGAGAAAGAATCGCTCGATTTTAGTTCTGCCGAATGAACGATTGATTCACACGAGTTACCCCCTCCGAACGTTGCGTTGAATTAAAAAAAATTCATTTCAGGTATGGTTTAAAAATCGTCGCGCCAAGTGGCGGAAGCAGAAGCGGGAGGAGCAGGACCGTATCCGGAAGCTGCAGCTGGAGCAACGTCAGCGTACCGACGACGGCGGCACCGCGGCAACGGTGATGGTGGGCGATCGTCTGGGCCTGAGTAGACAGCAGCAGCAGCAGCAGCAGCAGCAGCAGCATCAGCAGAAGCTCGAGCAGGACACGGACAGCTCCGACCTCGAGGTAGCGTAGTGCGGCCGTGGTGACGACGAGACACGACGAGTGTCTCGCCCATCGGTAAATCGAGGAGATCGAGGACGACGGAAGACGGTCCGGTGCTTTCACGCTCTAATCGACAATGTCTATGGGCATGTACATACGTGACTATGTTGTAAATACCATTGTAAATATGACTAACGATGAATGTGTACAATACCGAAATAAATTATTGCATCGAAGCACGAAGTGTCTGTCGTCTGGTCCCCTTAAGTCGGTTCTACTAATAAGGTCGCGAGACGTAAACTGTAAGAAATGAACTAATCGTAGTTTATTATATTTTTATTATTTTCTCGCATTCAACCTGTGATTGGCCAATTTCTCACGACTTACTACTTGCGATTCTATCGTAGTACAAGCATCTCGACGTATTCGCGCGAAAGAAGTTTCTTATAGTAGAACATTGAAGAAATAAGAATTTTATCGCCTAGAGCTTTTTTTGACAATATTTATATACACAGGATGCATATATGGCGTTGCATGTATACACTGTCTAAAACTTTTAGAGTGAATCTCATTTGAAAACATGAAATCTCACTTTTAACAATAAAAATTGAGCCACTCTTTTTTTCCAGATTGAAAAGACTCAATTTTCACTCTCTAAAGTGAAATTCCATTCCAAAGAATTTAGAGAATACATATCCAAATGTTCGTAGATTGCCATGTTAACCGAGTCGTCACCAAATCTCTTTTTGCTCCAACTGTGATTATCTCAGTGACGTTAAGAGTAAAATTAATTACATGAAATTAATTTCGTCCGCGCTTCTCTCCATCCCACGCAGTTAGTTTGTTGTTACTGATTTAAAATACACGTTTATTTCTTGATTCTATATATGTGTGTGTGTGTGTGTGTGTGTGTGTG